TATCATTAATCAGCAATCGTTGCAAGTAAGGCTTGTTCTTTCTTGCCAAAAACCATTAGAGGGTTTCGTCAATTCAATATCTTCTTACTTTTCTGCAAGTACTAAACGGTGTGCAATTCTTGCATAAATTGACGAATACTCTTAAAGCTGCTGAAACTCGCTGGTTATCTATGTAACACTGCATTTGTCGTTTACTGGAAATCTGGATTCTACTGCAGCAGTACTTCACGTTGGCTGTGCATGAAGACAATCTCAAGAATGTAGAAACTGCATTGCACGAACTGCATAATCCTTACACCAAAGTCTGAGATCCTGAGCTATAATTTATAAAATTTAATAATAACGTGGGTTGGATTTTGACTTGGTACCCCTAAGCTATCAGGATTCCTCCCCCTCTCTCTCTCTCTCGACCGGAGAATATTAATATTTTGAACAGTATTACATAGCTATAATTTATAAAATTTAATATTAACGTGGGTTGGATTTTGACTTGGTACCCCTAAGCTATCAGGATTCCTCCCCCTCTCTCTCTCTCTCGACCGGAGGTTTTGCCCAAATGACCTTCCCCTNATCTCAAGAATGTAGAAACTGCATTGCACGAACTGCATAATCCTTACACCAAAGTCTGAGATCCTGAGCTATAATTTATAAAATTTAATAATTGAATTAAATTAAAAGTTTAACAAAAGCAAAAGGTTTGGAGACCAACAAAAGAACAACTGAAATTACTGCAAACCAATATCTCGGCTATTTATAGAAAGCTCACTAACAAGCAACAACTAGAATAAACCAGGCACAGAAGAAAACGTTTGAAGAGCAGACACTAAAACAGCACAAAAATCATTTCGAAAAACAGGTAAGAATCTTAACATCGCATATTTCTTGGCAAAACACGACAGACCATTTAGTGATTATGAAGATCAGTGGCGTGCCGTCAATAGAAGCGTTGGAAGCGCCGCTTCCCTCGTATTCTCTAAAAAATAAATAAATATTAATTTTAATTATATGAAAATAATCGCACAATATTTTATTATAACCGCATTACGTATCTTATTACAAATTTCTATACTACACGTGGAAAAAAAATTGCTATTGTATATTAGAATATTAGTGGCGGAGTGGAATCTCCTGTATTTTCAGATTACGAAAAGCCAGATTTGCGCATGCGCTTTACAGAGCACCAACCTCACCCGGTTTAGCCGGTGGAAGCCTACGACCTTGGGTGAAAGCTGCACACATATAAAGATTCCAATTCTATCAAGGACCGGTTCTGGGCTGTTAGCCGCCTGCCCACTAGATATTTCGATTACGTGAATAACGAGTAGATTTATAACTTAACCCAACCGATAAGAATTTACTGGTATGTTTTTACGATAGTTCTGTATAGTTGACAGGAGTTTAAAAAATCCATTAAAATATTTGATATATTTATTCCGCTCTCCGATTTTATATTACTCACGGATTTCGATGTTAAACCAGTGATATTACGATTTCGTACATCCCATCTTTAAGGGGATGTAGAAAAAAACGTGTACAATTCTTGTATAATGTTAAAAAATTAACCGTTACTTCGACAGCGTCATTTACAACTAAATTTAATGAATGAGAGAGATGCACCAGGTACAGAAAAGGCTCTAGAATTTATTTTCCTTAAATTTACGATTTATGTATCCGTTGTCGTAAAAATTTGTCTTTCCACTTTTTTCCCGAGACTACAAATATTCGAGTACAAAGTAACTGGTTTCGACTTATTTCTACTTAAGAAGTAGTTAAATAATTAAGCGATTAGGGAATTGGGGACGTAAACAAAACCCTGATGAAAGAGCCGGAATTTTACTTAAACAAAAGCCTAACCGGACCAATATCTAGCCGAGTACAGTGGGACTGATTTCTTCGTAATATTAGATGTAATAAAGACAGAAATTTTTCCAGTTCAATGAAAGTGAGTAAAAGTTGTAAATTTTGGAAATTTCCGTGGACACCTGGTCTTAAAACGAATTACAGTAGTTAGAAAACAAATGACTTTTAAGTTTAACAAATTTAGATTTTTACAGCTATGATGAGAAACGTTTAAAATTTACAACAACCCTGTCGCGTCCTTTGAGATATACTAGTGATGAGACAAAAGAGACATTAACCGGTATCGGCACCCTCGGGATTTGGCAAGCATGCACCGCACCGCACACCTACCAAGACCGTCTCTGATTCCATCCACGAGCCACTGGTAGGGAGCAATTTTAACTAGGTGGATTGTTTTAATATTTAAAAAGTAAAGACTATTTTATGTTATTTTTATGTACGTTTCTTCACAAAACTATATTTATAATTTTCTTTAAAAGTATATTCATACAATTGAATATTTTGTACCAGGTATGTATAATTGTATATCATCACACATTTTATTTTAACAAGTAAGTTTTTATAATTTTATTTTTAATTTTAGCCCTTATATTATAGCTAGCAATTTAGAATGTAATTGTGATATCGAAAATTTATTTCAAAAAGTTTTGGCTCGAGACCATATAATGAAAAAGAAAAAATTTGTTCGACATTTTCATGATAAAATTTATGAAGATATAAAATGGCTTTGTGGATGCATAAAAATGCAAAATTTGTTTTGTTGGCCTTGCCTACTATTTTCAAATAAAATTAGTGTGTAGAATGAGATTGGCTTTGACGATTTAAATAATTTGAGTAAAGCTGGCAAAAGACACGAAAATCCTAAATCTCGCATCGATTCTTTCGTAAAATTGAAGCAATTTGGAAATCAAAATAGAATAGAATTTAACATTAGTACACAATATAAAATATATATTGAAAATTATAACCAGATAGTTACGGCTAATAGATATATTTTAAATAGTAGATGTTATCGAAGCGGGAATTGGCATTTAGAGGGCGTATAGAATCTATTAAATCTAATATAAGAGAGTTAATTATATTGAACTTGCTTATTTATTAAGTGCGTTAGATAATCTATTAATTAAAAATACATTTAGAGAAGTCTACGGTTTTTACTGGCTTATCGAACAAACGAATACGAATGGACCCTAGACCACCGCTGACTGATTGCCCCTGGAAGTCGGCTTCTTACAGAAACACAGCTTCCCTATCATCAAATGTCACGGCACGCCACTGATGAAGATCTGATTCACCTATATCGGAAAAATTGACTCGATTTAGGAATAAATCCCTATTCACGTTTTAGCGTTAACGAGATCGTAAAACACATAGGTGGCATGTCATCACAAGTGAGAATCCAAGTTGGTTTCCAGCAATGTTTTAAAAAGTATCTGTTTTGATGGATGAATCACAGCATTTTCTGTGCTCATGGTCTACATCCAAATTTTTTTGCATGAAAGTGAAAGAATTAATATTCTTCGATTTAATTTATCTTCCTGACCAAAAAGCAAACACAATTGTTACTGTTTTTTTGAAATGTTTGAAGTCCTAAATACACAAAGTAGGTAAAAAAATGCCAAATTTCAGACTTTTAAAATGCTTACTTTTTTATGAATGCACTTTAATTTTTTGATAAATCATTTTTATAATCTTTGCCGATTGTATCTTTATGTTCTGTAATATGTAAGAGATGAAAATTAAAGCAATGTTATCAAGTTGAAATTTCTTTTAAACCTTTTCTTTATCCACAATAAATAAAAACGATTAAGCTCCTCATTTATCGACCAAAGACCTAGCCGTAAGAACGGAACTCGGTCTTTAAGTGAGGGGTGCCTGAAATGACGTAAAATGTGTTCAAACGCAGAGACCAAAGCTAGGATGACGTATCTCAATTTTAGTGTCGATATCACTAATCGGTGCAATCTATTGTGAATCAGCTAATCCTTTTGTTTATCACAATTTAAATGCGATCAACAAAGGTATTAAAAAAAGAAAATATCTAAGTCATTTGTCTACTCGAATTTTCAACTGAAAACAAGTAAAGAAATCTATTACACCTTTTAAAACGTTTTCATTAGTCAGATTGCCAAGTTTTGATAGCTTATCTCTAAGTAAACCATTTCAATTAGCTTCAGATATGACTGATAATGAGTCACGAGGTATACTGACTCAGTCCAATTAAATAACTGATATGAAGTGACGTCACGATCAGCTGTGAGTTCCCAGGTAAGCATGCCATTTGGTACGAACAAACGTGTGAGGGTTTTAAACGTTAAAGTTTTACATTTTTAAAAGTTATATTTAAGTTATTGTTTTTAAAGTTATATAAATATTAAAGGCCATTAATTCTAATTAAGTGATTTTATATAAATATTCAAGTTTTAAGGTGAGTAAATGTTTTAATTTTGCTTAGTTTTTATTTTGGTTAAACTAATTTAAATGTTTATTAAGTATCATAGTAGATATTAATACAAAAAAAATTAACAATAAATAATTTTTCTTGAATTTTTTTTCAATGATGATTATACAATTATTATTTATAAGTGATTATCATTTTTAAATATTAAAAAAAAATAAAATAAAATAAATTTTTATACAGAAAATGAATGATTTGCTGTTTTTAAATTCAATAAAAATAATTTAAATAATTAGGAAATTAAGTTTAGTAATATAAAATCCAAAATTTTTATTTCTATTCTGTAATTTCTATTGAATTGTTACATTTTAATGTATAATAAAATGGTGATAAATATCACAATTTTTTTTTCTCTAAATAATACCTTATTGATATTAAGGTACTTATGGGTTAAGAGGACGCCAGTCGGAAATAGCGATCAAAGTCGCGATTTTGAATGAAAATATCAAAATAACAATAGATTAGTAAATTTAAATCTAAAAATAACAAAATTTACTGATAAGGTTGTAAAAATGAAAAAAAAAAAAAAATCAATTAGGATGATTATAGATATCACCTATTTGCCATATTTGCTGTATACACTACAAAACAATTTGCATATTCAAGTGGTTTATTATTAGAATTTGTGAGATTTTGTTATATCTTTATAAATCGTAATTAATTGTTTAATTTAACAATTGTATTAAATTTGACAAATAAAAAATTGCATTATTCGGAAAAAACGCTATTTCCGACTGGCGTCCTCTTAACTCCTCCATAAGTACCGATATTAATATAGTTGTAAGAAAAAACTGTCTTATTTATTAATTTATCTTATGCCATTTAAAAATGACTTTTTAATGTTATTAGGTAAACTATTAGAAAATGAATTTTCTAATAGTTTACCTAAAATGTCAAAATCTTTTCTAATGTCTATCATTACATACTTTGCTGATTTTCTTTTATGGAACATACTGCATATCTTTGCATTTTAATTCTATCTTAGCATCATTTTTTTGAATTTTCATGTTTGCAATCATTTTTCTTGTTTCATCTATGCAACTCCTGATGATATGAATATCAAAAGCTAATGTTGGAGAACCTATTTTTCTTCTATTTTTCTGTTGTCTGTCTGTATCATTGTCATTTTGTGATCGTCTGAACTGTGTCTACCAATCAGAGCCGTAACTAGGCAGGTGCAACAGGTGCACCCGCACAGGGCCCACTTGGAAGGGGGGCCCAAACTGCTGTTCGCAAGAAATTATATTTTTAAATTTTAAATTTTTCCGTCTTTTTACAGCGCGGTTTGGCGATTACATTTTGCCTTACTTAGACCCTAGATGTCTACTCACCGGTTTCCCAACTGTGGCGACTTTTAGAGGGACCTAGTGAGGTAGCAGAGACCACAGACAAATTAGCCAAAACCAGCCATGTGGTGTAGCGACTTTTGAAATTTTTTATTTTTTGAGAAATTTAAATTTATGTTTATAGTTTTCAAATCTACAGATTTTTCTCTACTTTATAGCGCTCTCTGGCAACGACTAATATTTTTACGATATACAAAACTATATTTCTAGATTTTTCTAGTGTGCAAAGCTAAAATCTTAGTTTCGAGGTTGTAAAAGGCGTGCAGAAATTCTGACATAATGTTTTGCTTTATAGTAGTTTGCATATGTGGTGTATACCTCAACGGCGGATTAAGCGGTAAAGAAACTATGCTGTTTTGTTGGGCCCTCGAGGTCTTTAAAATGCTACTGAAAAAAGGGATTGCAAAAATGCAGAAGATAGAAATAGTCCAGAAAAACGCTTCGATATACACATGGAGGTAATAAATGATAGTTTTTTGGCCAACAATATTAATTAACAGATGCTGTTATTGATCATATTCTTTGAAAAACTAAAAAGTATTAGGAATATAGAGAATTTGAAATCAGTGTATAAAGACAGAGATGAAGTGTATTACAAAAGACTTTTTTATGATCGTTTTTACAGAAAGAAATCAAATAAAATTGTGGAAAAGAGAAATTGGCTGATATTTTCAGAAAGAAGCAAAAGTGTTTACTGCTACCCTTGCAAACTCTTTTCAACATCAAAGTCTAAATTAATAACTGGTTTATTGAGTAGCGACAAAGTAGCGACTTTTCAAAATATCTGTGGTGAAATCAGCGACTTTTATCTTAAAATGTAGCGACGTTTATTTATGAACGTTTAACAACACTGCTGCTCACCAACATGAACATTCTAATTAATGGCAGAAATGACTGATATTTTCAACGTGCCTATGTTAATTTGCCTAACTTAGGTTAGTGTAGTGATAATGGAACTCCTCATCCTCCCTTAACTGCGGTTTTGTTCGTCCAGCTGCAATCTATTTGCATGCAGTCATAAAGGG